TCTCTCTTCTCTCTCTCTCTCTCTCTCTCTCTCTTCCTCCCCCAAGTGTTCTGCAACGGCTGGGGGTGAACGCATAGTCCAATGGCTTGGCCAGGCTTTGGACAAACGTTTGCCCGCGTAGGCGTTTCCAGAGAGACCGGGGGCGGCCCTGGTTCGCCGCATGCGTCTTCGCTACAACCCTCACAGACAAGATGTTTCGGGAACTGGTCGCTGATCCGTGCAGGTTATAGGATCCCCAAGACCTGCCCACGGCGGCCCCAATACGCCTCAAAGCTGCCTATGAGGTCTCGAGGCGACCGGTGGGAGCCCCGAGGCAGTCCCGAGTGGCCCCGAGAGGGCCCCAAGACGGCCCGAAGAGATGCCCCCGAGGACGACCTCTGAGATCGCCGGACGGCCCTATGAGCACCCAGGGACGGCCCCAGAGAGCCCCCAAGAGGGCCCAAGAGGGCCCCGGGAGGCCCCGAGGAGGACCCAAAGGCAACAAAGAGAGAGCTCCACGGCAGCCCCAAAAACGGCCACGGAGGGGTCCCGCACCAGTTCCCCCTCCCCCCCCCCCCTGTTTGCGATTTCCCCAACAGCTGGGAGAAAATACAGTCCATTCGCGCTGCTGCACTTTCGCTCGGCGTTTCAGGACACAAGCGTGTCCAAAAATTGACAATACCCTATGCGATGTCCCATGTCTCTGCCTTTTGGCAGTCAGCGACAGCCACGCGGAACGCTTGTTCCGAAATGCAGGGATTGGGCCTGACCGCAAGATCAAACGTCTGAGTACTGTGCATGTCTCTGCCCTTGGGCAGTCAGCGACTGATGCACGGAACGCATGGAGCCTGACCGAAGGATCAGCCGCCAGAATATGTTGATAAAGTTAGCGACTCGAATCATAAAAAAGTCTGACTCGAATGTAGCAGAGCCGAGAGTTCACTTCACCTGCGCGGCCTTTGAAAAATCAGTAGCAGCTAGCTTGTATTCGCTCGAGCTAGCTTCGCAGGCGATCCCAGAATCCAAGAATCGATTCGGTAAATCGGATCGGCGATCGAAATGAATCGGATCGGCGGAAATCTGCAGCCCAGGAGAAGTCGAATCGGCGGAAATCGGCAGGCTAGTAAGGCACTGAGAACCAAGAATCCAAATAGGAATCCGAAATCGAGTCGAATCGAAATCAGAATCGATCAAAATCGAACCGAATCGGGTTGGAGATCCACAGATCGCCAGCATGGCTGGTAATATCACATGGATGGGAAATCAGGAGGTCACCGACCGACATCAACGAAACGATGCAAAGGTTGGCAGAACGTGAAAAGAGGGAGAAGTCAGCGTTCGACAACGAGCACTGGTTCGAGTCAGATCCGGGCCGCAATGTCACGTTCCATGGTCGAATGTTCGACTGATTGATCGATCGATCGATCGACTGACCGCCGCGGCGGCCGCGCAGGCGCTGAGGTTGGAGACAAATTGCTGTCAGCCACGCGTGGTTGAAGACCGAAGCAGTCAGGGTGTCGCAATCAGGACAGGAGCGAGAGCTCGACAGCCCTGCGACGTTGAAACAAAAGTGACGCGGCGCGAACGCAACCTGGCCGCAGTGACAGGAGGCCAGCGATATCTCACTGCTGCGGGGCTACGCTCAGTTCCGGGCCTGCTGGGGCCGCCTCACCCAGCGCTGCTGGGAGCAGGAGGAAAAGAATCTGGAGGAGCTAGCCGGACTCAAGCGTCCTCCTGGACCTCCTCCCCGAGGTCGACGAGAAAGCCCGCCTCGCGCACCTCCAGCATCAGCGCGTCCAGCAAGACCTTCTCGCGCGAGTTCTGCGCCCCTACCTTCTTCTGCAGCACCACCAGCAGCGACCGCATGGACAGGGCCCCAAAAGCCTTCCCCAAAGTTCGCAGCTCCCGAGGCTTGGCCCGGCTGCCAGCGTCGACGGGGGCCGCACAAGGCCCGGCGCACTGCTGGTCAGCCAGCAACTGGAGAGTGCCTGTGGACAAGCGCAGCGCCAGCATTTTCCTCTCGAGGACGGGCAGCAGGATGCCGAAGCACTCGGCCATTGTCGTCGCCTCCATGGCTCTCCTGTGCGACCTCCCGAGGTGCACGGGTCGAGCCGGGTGCGGGCAGTGGCAGAATCTGCACCCGTCGCCGCTCGTGCACTGGCCCCGCGCGAAGTACAGGCACGGCCGGACGCACATCTCGGGGTGTCCCAGGCTCCCAGGATTGGAATGGTGGGTGCACTCGGCGTGGGGGGCGAGGCTGGCCTGAACCTGACTGTGGTGGTTCGTCGAAGCGCCGTCGGCGCCGCCGTCTTTCACGCAGTAGCATGCTGCTGGCGGAGTACTGGCTGGGCTGATCAAGGACGCGCCGTCCGTCTGCGGCAGGGTACTCATCTTCGCCCTCAGAAGCACGTCAGCGACCAAGTGGTTCGTGACAGGCACTTGCTTGAGGTCGTCCATGCAAGCAACAGCGTGCCTGACGTTCGCGTTAGTCGTGCTCCTCAAGGCCCGCATCGTCTGCGAGTACATCTCGGGCACCGACTCCACGATCTGAGACTTGGCTTCTTTCAGCGCCCGGCGGCTGAACCCCGCGTCCTCTGGCAAGCTCCGCAAGACGTGGTCGCAACAACTGGCCGCCTTCCGCTTGGACTCCTGCACGGCCTGATCAACCGCCTCCCCGGTGATCTGCTCGAGCTCTTCTGGAATGCTCCACAGCTGCACTTCTTGACTCTCAGGGGAAAGGCTCTTTAACGTCTGCATGATGGCGCTCAGCTTCATCCGTATCGCCACGTTCGCTTCCAATATCTTCGAGTCGAAGGAGCTCCTGATGATCTCCGGGATCTTGTCCAGCTGATCCACGGCCACATCGACAACGTCGCCGTCCCCGCCGCTGCGGCGAATGGCCTTCTGCACCAACGACAGGTCGAGCTTCACACTGTCGGCGAGGCTCTCGGCCTTGATCTGCACCACGCTGCTCAGCTGCTCAGGCAGGAGGTGGATGGTATCCGCGGCTGCAGACATGCGACGCTTTTCCAGGCTGTTCCTCATCGTCTCCCGGCTGTTCGAGGCCCAGGCCTCTTCCATGCGCCTCGACAGCGCGGCAGCGCGCATGCGGTCGGCGTCGAAGAACGCGACGCGGTAGGAAGACGACTCGCTGCAGGGCTCGCTGGAGGGCCGAGGACTGAGCGATCCCTTAGGCTCGTCGTCGCCCACCTCGATGAACGTGGCCTTCCACATGACCTTCTCGTGGCCCTCCCTGCCCGCCTCGCCCCCACGACGCTGTCTCGCGGGAACCGTGGCGAGGTCGTAACGTGGCGTCGCCGTGGACCTGGTCTCGCAAGCAGAAGCCGAGTCAGAACTGCCGCTATCCGAAAGACTGCTCAAGCCGACCGCAGTCGAGCCACTGCATGCTTCGCTGACGTACTGGACAGCTTCGCACGTACTGGACGTACTGCACTGACGTACTGGACTGTCTTCTTCTTCTCCCTGGGTCTCGCCCACGGAATCGATACTCGGGTCGGCGGACAGGAGCTTCCGCATCGTTTCCCGGCTGTTCGAGGCCCAGGCCTCGCCCATGCGCCTCGAGAGCGCGGCAGCGCGCATGCGGTCGGCGTCGAAGAACGCGACGCGGTAGGACGACGACTCGCTGCAGGGCTCGCTGGAGGGCCGGGGACTGAGCGATCCCTTAGGCTCGGCGTCGCCCACCTCGATGAACGTGGCCTTCCACATGACCGTCTCGTGGCCCTCCCTGCCCGCCTCGCCCCCACGACGCGGCCTGGCTCCGCCTGTGGCGCCACCGCGGCTTGCCATCCCAGACACAGAAGGCCCGCGCGGCCCCCACAACAGAACTGAGTCGGGCCCCTGCGCTGTAGAAAGCTGCGGAGGCGGGAGCGGGGAGGATAGGGGCGAGAGGCGAAGAAGACTCGGTGGCACCTCCCATACCATCTTGTCGGCTCTTGCGAATCGACGCTTGTCGACGCTAATCGACGCTAAATCGACGCTAAATCGACGCGAAATCGACGCTAAGCGACGCTGAAGACGGAATCAAGAGGGTACACCAGGCTCCCATCATCTGCCACCGAAAGAAGAGGAGGACGGGGGGGGGGCATAGGAAGGTGAGCGAGGAGGCGGCCCAGGCGGGACAAAGGGGGGGCACCCCTGTGAGCGCAGAACCGACTGGGCGAGCTGATGACTCTCGCGGATGCCAAGGGCAACCAGGCTCAGCTGCAGAGCAACGTCGACACGGCCACCACCTTCCAGCTGGTGGCCCCGCAGGCCGACAAGAATGAAGGGGCCCCAGGACACACAAATAAATGCACACAAATAAAAAGATTCCCCATATTTTCCCCTATCTTCTGGGTTTCTGTCTTCCCCCCCACTTCCCACATTTCCCCCATATTGTCCCATATGTTCCTGGGAATCGACGATTAATTGTGTCTGTGTGTGTTTTCCCCTCCTGAATCACATCGTGGACGACGTTGCTCACGAGGTGGATGGGCTGGGCTGGTCCGCCCCTAGGCGAGCATCGCAGACCTTGGGAGGTGGAGTGCATGGGCACCGAGCTCATCGCCACCGCCGCCCTGAGCCCCACGCATAGGCGGCCACATGCGAACCCTACCCCTACCCCCCACGATTCCTGAGGGGGAGGGTGGGGTTCACTCTATTCGGGAGCTCCCGAGCGAAGTGAACCCAACCCTCCCCCTCAGAAATCGTGGGGGGTAGGGGTAGGGTTCGCATGTGGCCCCCTAACGCAGAACAGCATCTGCGAGCGGCACGGCGGCGAATGGAAGTACATCGCGAAGGCCATCGTCGACGAGTACCAGATCGATTTTGACCCTCCCAAGCGCCGTGGGGTGGCTCTACACCGTGGTCAACTGGGCGAAGAACAGCAAGGGGGGCCGTCTGGGTACAGCCCGGCGCAGTGGGTGCTCGGCCTCGGCTACCGCCTGCCCTACAGCATACTCTCTAACCACGCGAGGCTCTCGCTCCACCAGCGCGCCCGGGACGATCAGACGTTCAAGCAGCGCGTGGGCATGCTTGCTGCCGCTCAGCGTGCAGCCCAGGCAGTCGAGTACGATCGATGTCTCTCCGCAGCCTTCCTGGCCAAGAGTCGCGGGCAGGCTGCGCGGCCATCGAGCCTCAGCTTCAGCATTGGCGACCAGGTCTTCTACTGGCGCGGCCTGAACAAGGCCAAGAAGATGTGGAACTTCAAGTGGCATGGCCCTGGAACTGTCATCGGCTACGAGAGGAACAACGTGTGGGTTTCGCGACGGAACGCTACCCTCAAGTGCTCCCCGAAGCATCTGCGGCCTGCGCTTCCAAAAGAGTGCGTGCCCTGTAATGAGGTCTTCGACGCTCTGGCCCACAGCGACGAGCCTGACTTCGAGGAGGACACGCCCTACATGGAGGACCCCCTGGGGACCGACACCGATTACTACGACATGACCGTCGACGACGAGCAGATCCCCGGTCCTACCAACACTCACCCCACTAATTACAGGACGGCGTCAGACTGGGAAGCGCAGTGGACGGTTTGGCTATCGTCCCGATGGCTCGGCCGAGGAGGAGACCCCAAGGCCCCTACCCGATTTTGACGCTTGGGGCCCTGATGAGTCGGCCGATCCAGAGGCGAAGCGACCGCGATTTGCTTCAGAGCCTGAGCTTGAGATTCCAGTGGAGACGCAGCCAGCACAGCCACAGCAGCAAGAGCCCGACCCAGTCATGGTGGAACCCGAGACGCCTTTCGAGCAGCCGATGTTCGACCAGGAGCAGTTTTAGCAGGCGCATTCCAGTCAGGTTCCGGACGCCTTCGACCCTGATCTGTACGAGCAGGAACCCGAGACCACGTGGGTTCACCAGGGCGTTCCCGATCTTGACGAGGACCTCGACGCAGACGAGGAGCAGGAGACGCCATACCCGCAACAGCATCAGGCGCCCGCACCGGAGCCCGAGACTCCAGTCGTGGAGGAGCGTCGTCAGCTGCGGCGACCTCGCTACGACCCACTCGACGATGTACTTACCAGCATTCGGCAGAACCTCCAGGCAAGGAGGAGCGCCACGACCTACGACCCACTCGACGACGTGCCGCACAGTATCCGACGTTCGCCTCAAGACCGACAGATCACCCAGAGGCCCAGGGTTAACGAGCACCTGATCATGGAGCTTTCCCTGAAGGAGTCGGTTGACGTTGACTACTCGACCCTTACCCGACCAGGTTCAGGCGTGTGGACCTCGTGGGCAAGTCGAGGAGCAAGGAGCTGACCTTCAGGAACCTGACGGGCGGCAACCAGGTCAAGATGCGTAAGGCTATGGCTTCAGAGTGGGACAAGTGGCTGGCGTTCCATGCAGTACGGTACTGTTCCAAGGAGGAGCTCGCCCAGCTCAAGCGCAAGCGGCCAGAGCTCCAGGTTGTTGGCACCAGGTGGGCTTTGACTGAGAAGGATGCGGATACCTTCAAGGCGAGGCTGGTGGTGCAAGGGCGTTGGGAGAACGATTTGGGCATTCGTACCGACTCTCCGACGCATTTTGGCTTACGGCGGGGTTTGCAGCTCAGCATGGCTGGGATGGCGCTTTCTTCGATGCCAAGAGCGCCTGCTTGCAGGCAGAGGGCATCAAGCCGTGTTCTGATGATCAAGACGGCGCTGGAGAATCCTCCTCTGGGCACCGTTGCAGGACAGATATTCTTCGCGACAGGCAGCGTCTACGGCACAAAGGATGCTGGCAGAGCCTGGCATGTGTATGTAAAGTCAGTTCTCAGTCAGTACCATATCCATGAAAGCAAGCTGGAGCGAGGCTGGTACTGCTTGGCTCACCAGGGTGAGATCTCACTGGTCATCCACTCTCATGTGGACGACACGTTCTTCGCCTGGAAGCAGTCCGGTACCTACGTCCACAAGATCATGCCAGAGCTCGGGAAGCGTCTGCACCTTGCCAAGAAGGTCGGTGACGTCGACTACCTGGGCACGAGGGTGCAGATGACGCTGGGGTTCATCAACGTGACCCTGGAGAAGGCGATCAAGGCGATCAAGTGCATCCCCATCGACGCGAACCGCGTGAAGATTCCCGAGTCAGAGGCGACACCTGAGGAGGTCAGTAGCTTCAGGACGACCAACGGTCAGGTGCAGTGGGTTGCTACGAGGTCTCGTCCAGATGCGGCTTGCAAGCAGAACTTGGCGGCCCAGCGTATCAGCAAGCTGAAGGTCCAGGACCTCATCAACCTCAACCAGTTGGTCACCGAGCTCAAGCAGAGCCCGACGCTGGGAGCTCGGCTTGTACGTGGTCGAGTTCGTGTTCTGCTGGCGCAGCTGGTGTTCTACGGGGACTCCGCCTTCGCCAATGCCGAGGGCGAGCGGTCTCAGTGTCTCAGTGTGGGCTCGTCGGGGGCTTGACTTACAAGCCCGAGGAGGTCTCCCAGGGGAGATTCAGCGAGCTGATTCCGCTTACCTGGTGTTCAGGACGTGTCCAGAGGGTGGTGCGAAGCACCCTCAGCGCAGAGGCCTATGCTATCAGCGAGGCTTCTGAGTACGCAGAGTGGTATCGCCAGGTGCTGACAAAGCTGAAGATGGCGGCGAAGCTCGGAAGTCCATCAAAGTTGAAGGACGTGGAGCGGCAGGCGGATAGCATCAAGATGACGACCTTCACGGACAGTAAGAATCTAGAGGAGTCGGTGGGGAAGGACGCCGGGGTCATACGGGACAAACGCCTGAGGATCGTGGTCACTATGCTGAGGAAGACCTTCGCCCCTACAGCTTCGATTCTGCGGTTGATTCCGACTCATACGATGGTCGCGGACGCTCTCACCAAGATGATGCACGCGGGTATGCTGATGGCGTTCATGTCCAGGCGCAACGTAAAGTTCACAACCCAAATCCCCAAGTCGAAGAAGCTCGTCCAGGTACTGACGATGGCAGCGTGCGTCGGCCGTACCAGGAGTCAGCTTTGAACTCTGGCCGATCGAGAAGACGAGCAGCAGTCGGTCCAGCCAGGACCTGCCCGTCATGCAGTCATGCAGTCGTGAAGGCTATGCAGAGAGTTGGTTATATTACTTGCAGGGTGTGGCTCTTGGAGTCATGTTGACTCTCTTTTGTCTACTGGTGTATGTTGTGATTCAGAAGGTAACGTCCATGCAGTCCAGGACGCAGGAGGTCGACCAGCAGATCAAGATCAGGATCAAGCCGACCATGCAGCCCAAGACGCAGCAGGTTGACCAGCAGATGGAGATCGGGAGCAAGCCAAAGCACGAGAAGGATACGGGTTATGGGCTACGGCAAGCTCCAGGTCAGGGACGTGATGACGATGAACCAGACTATGTATGTACGGGGCTTTGCTCCAGAACCGAGGCGTCACAACCCCGTTCACAACTTCGAGGTGACGTATTTTGTGGACAGCCCTACGATCGTGTGAGCACTCCGTGATTGTGCTGTGCTCCACCGACGATACCCACGGCTGTGTGAGCGCTCATCGTGCTGTGCTCCACCGACCACGGGCACCTCTGTGAGCTCCACTTTTTCCGTATGAGGCCCCCTTTTAGGCCATGAGCCCCGCTGGGCTTTTGTACGACGGCTGCCACTCTGGGCAGCGTGCAAGACCATCCCGACCTCTTCCTCGTCCTACCTCCCCGAATTCACGACTGAGTCTTACGCTAGCGAGTTTGTTTGTTGTGTACTGCCTTGAACTGTGAGCTAATCTAGCAAGCCAGCCAAACCTGTAGGAGCCCTGGGCCCAAGTTTGTAGCAGACGAGCCGTCAGCGACCGGCCGATTATCCGATGGTTTAAGCAGCGTTGAAATCAGGGAAATGTACAGCGTACATTTCGGAGGAGTTCGAGTGATCAACTGTTTATGCAGCATGTTTTGTGGCAAGCACGTTTCTGCTATCGTTTAGGCTCATGCGCTTTGAC